AGGGCGGGGGCCCAGCAGGGGGCGCTGTGCTGAAGGGAGCAGGGCGGGGGCCCAGCAGGGGGCGCTGTGCTGCAGGGAGCGGGGCCGGGGGGACATTCAGGGGATTCTCACCTGTAATACCCACAGGGCAGCTCGTGGAGCACAAACATGAACTTGTCCTGCTGCTCCTTCTCGTAGGCGAAGCCGGAGAGCTCGGATCGGGTCCCCTCCAGGGCCCGGCCCATGGACTCCCCCGGTAGCTCCAGTTCCACCTTCCAGTCGTTGTTCACATCGGACGCCATTGCCCGGGCCACGGCCACGGCCGACTCCTGCACCGAGGTGCTGAGCTCCCGGTTGCACAAGATATTCACCTTCCAGTCCGTCACGGCCAGCGGCGCCCTCTGCAGCTGCCCCCCCTGCAGCGGGTTCTGGCACAAGGTGCAGGTGCCGTTCGGGCCGCGCCACAGGCTGGTGTCCACCAGGTAGTTCCCCGTCCAGCCCAGCGTGGTGACGTCGATGCCCTCCCGTACCAGGCTGTGCCCAGGCACAAAGGCCACGCTCCTCCTGCACTCCTGAGCCGTGCCTGTGCGGCAGAAGGGAGAGACCCCAGGCACAAGCACAAGGAGGAGGAGAGGGATGAAAACCCTGGCTGTGGCCATGGCTGGTGTGATGAGGGGCACCCCTCACCCAAAGCTGCTGTTGGGCTTTGACCCTCCCTAGAGGGAGAGAAACAGAGAGAGTCTTCAGTCATGACAATCTAGCGGCAGGGAGTTCCACAGGCCAACACAGCCCAGAAGTCTCCAGGCTTCTATGGCTCTCCCTGCATCTGAGAAGAGAGATCTCCAGCAACTTATACTAGAGCCCACCCCGCTCCCTGCTCACAACACTCCCTGCTGGGCCCCCGCCCTTCTCCCTCCAGTGCAGCGCCGTCTGCTGGGCCCCTGCCTTGCTCCCTGAATCACAGCGCCCCCTGCTGGACTCCCATCCCACTCCCTGCAGCAACGTGCCTCCTGGTGAACTCTCACCGGGCAATGGCGTCCGATGTGAACAACGACTGGAAGGTGGAACTGGAGCTACCGGGGGAGTCCATGGGCCGGGCCCTGGAGGGGACCCGATCCGAGCTCTCCGGCTTCGCCTACGAGAAGGAGCAGCAGGACAAGTTCATGTTTGTGCTCCACGAGCTGCCCTGTGGGTATTACAGGTGAGAATCCCCTGAATGTCCCCCCGGCCCGCGCCCTGCAGCACAGCGCCCCCTGCTGGGCCCCTGGGTCCCGGCCCTGCTCCCTGCAGCACAGCGCCCCCTGCTGGGCCCCCGCCCTGCTCCCTGCAGCACAGCGCCCCCTGCTGGGCCCCCACCCTGCTCCCTGCTCACAACACTCCCTGCTGGGCCCCCGCCCTTCTCCCTCCAGTGCAGCGCCGTCTGCTGGGCCCCTGCCTTGCTCCCTGAATCACAGCGCCCCCTGCTGGACTCCCATCCCACTCCCTGCAGCAACGTGCCTCCTGGTGAACTCTCACCCCGCTCCCTGCGGCACAGCGCCCCCTGCTCCGCCCCTCCCCATTCGCTGCAGCACAGCGCCCCCTGCTGGGCCCCTGTCCCATTCCTTGCTGCAAAGCGCCCCCCTGCGCCCCAGCCCTGCTCCCTTCAGCACAGCACCCCCTGCTGGGCCCCATCTTGTTCCTGCAGGACAGAGACTCCTGGTGATTCCCCGCCCTGCTCCCTGTAACATGGGGTATTGTCCTGAGTCCCCAGTTCCCTGCAAAATTGCACCCAGCTGCCCTGTGGGTATTACAGGTGAGAGTCCCCTGAATGTCCCCCCGGCCCTATAGTGCAGCGCCCCCTGCTGAGCCTCCGCCCCGCTTCCTGCAGCACAGCGCCCCCTGCTGTGCCTCCGCCTGTTGGGCCACTGCCCTGCTCTTTGGACCACAGCTCCCTGTAGTGCTGCATTGGGGCAATGGAGCAGCACTGCCTGGGAGGGACCGCTCCCTGCAGCGCAGCGCCCCCTGCTGGGCTCCGCCCCACTCCCTGCAGCGCAGCGCCTCCTGCCGGGCCCCCGCCCCGCTCCCTGTAGCACAGCGCCCCCTTCTGGGCCCCCATCTTGTTCCTACAGGACAGCAGCCCATGGTGATTCCCTGCCCTGCTCCCTGTAACATAGGGTATCCTCTTGAGTCCCCAATTCCCTGCAGAATTGCACCTCCTGTTGGGCCACTGCCCTGCTCTTTGGGGCAATGGCACAGCACTGCCTGGGAGGGGCCCTGCCTCCTAATCAGAGAATCAGAGAACACTAGGACTGGGAGGGACCTCGAGAGGCATCGAGTCCAGTCCCCTGCCCTCACGGCAGGACCCAGTACTGCCTAGACCATCCCTGAGAGACATTTATCTAACCTGCTCTTAAATATCTCCAGAGATGGGGATTCCACAACCTCCCTGGGCAATTTATTCCAGTGTTTGACCACCCTGACAGGTAGGAACTTTTTCCTAATGTCCAACCTAAACCTCCCTTGCTGCAGTTTAAGCCCATTGCTTCTTGTTCTATCCTCAGAGGCCAAGATGAACAAGTTTTCTCCC